ACCGGGATTGCACAGTTTCGAATGTTTTTCCGGTTTGGCAGGTTTCCTTTTTTATTTAGGTTTCGTTTTGGACAGGTTTTACTATATTAGAAATAAATCTATATTAAATTATGTATTTGTGAAATTTTGTTCGTAAATTTCGTGAATATTCGCGAATTTTATAATTAAATTAATTAATCAATTTTTAACTAATTTTTAAGAATTTTATATTAAATTAATTTTTTTATTTAATTAAGATATTAATTTTTGGATAGCCTAAATTATATTCTATAGATTAATTTATTTTATAATTTAGTTACATTCAATTTACTTTATGAAAGAGATAATACTTTACTGTACTATATAAAAGCATAAATCAAATTACTTTTTAATATATTGCTTAATTTATTAATTAAAAATTTTATATTTAAACATAAACTATCTTCCTAATTTACTATTTCAAAATTTTTGGAGTATAAATGGTGTATAACACACCTGAAAAACACTTATAGAGTAGCTCTATAAGTATTTTTTTTTTAAAAAAAGTACTTAAAGCCCTGGGAGCGTCATTTGGAATTACTAAATGCCATGGGCCTCCCACCTCATAGGACTTCTGATACGCTTTTGAAATGTCCCAATTGTTTTAAGGAAATTAACACTAAGTAGGTAAATTGTGGAGTTTGTAATGACTTCAAATGCATTTCTACACTCTTGCAATAATAGTAATAATTGAGATCCTCCCATAACTTCTCTACTTCAGTGCAAACTTTTAAAAAATTGGGACATTCATATTCTAAATAATTATTTAATTTTAAAATTACAGAAAATATTATTATTATTACATACTATTAAATCCTTAATAAGTGAAAGGATATAACAAGTTGATAAAAATAAGTACAGCTTAATTTTTTGAAGTGTTTTAAGTAATATTGATCCGAAGATTTCTTTCCAATTATAAAATTAATAGAAATAAAAATTTAATTACATTTTCTAAGTATGTTTTTATTACCTTATATAAAAATTTTATAAAAATTAAAAAAAAAATCTATTTATTAAAAACATCAAATTAAAAAGGAAACTTTTATCTAATCTAAAATATAAAATAGCAAAAATATTTTATAATAAAATGAAATTTTATTAAATANAAATTTTAACTAATATAAAAAAACTAATATAAAGATACAACACGGTTTCGAAATATGAAAGTAATAAATTTTAATTATAATTTTTTATTATTTTAGTAAAAAAACCATTTAACATGTTTTTAAATATTATAAATAATGCTAAATAATTCTGAATAAATAATTTAATTTCTTTAATTCTATAAAAGAAAATATACAAGCATTTTAATATATTTTTAAATGTGCTAAGTATTTCAGTAGAAAAAAATAAATTAAAATAAATCATAAATAATTAATGATTTTTATTTTTAAATAAATAATAAAAGATCTTGTTAATTTTAATGCATTGATCTATACAAGTATTTTTATTTTGGAATGTAATATTAAAGGAAGAAAGATTTTAAAATGATGTATTCAAACTAAAATACAAATCTATTCATTTACTCTTATAAATTGAACCCAAAAAAAGTTAATAAATATTAAATATTTTATTTTTATATAATTATATTAAGTGCATTTCGTGAATAATTCATTAATGATCCAATTTAAAAAGATAGAAATAAAATTCTATAAATTCTTAGCCTATTGTTAGGAATATTGTATTGAAGCTTATAACTTATCTGAGTGAACTTTAAAAGTTTACATTAAATAATCTTTGAAAAATAAAATTCTTATATAAAAATATGAAAAAAAAAGATTGTTTTCTGATATCCCAGAATGCTATTTATAATATATAAAGCTTTGCATATATATAGAGTATATATATATATAGCCTATATAGAATGGCGCGTTATCCTATGGGGAAAAAAGGGCAATTGCCTGGGACAACCATCAACAGGGATCTTTTATAAGAAAATATTTCCACAAAAATTCCCCGAAGAAAAATGTCTGAATTCAACACTGTATGTGGGGCCCTCTAATTCAAATTTGCCTGAGCCCCATGAAGCTATAATGCATCATTATGTTATAACATTTTACTCTGTGAGTGATCTGGGGATGAGCTAGAAAGTATAATCAGTACAATACATTTAATACCGAATATATATATATATTTTCCGGTTTGTCAGGTTTCCGTTTTGAACAGGTTTTTTTTACATAAAATCGCTGCATTTCTAACAATATTTCCTGTTTAGGCAGGTTTCCATTTCATTCAGGTTCCGTTTTATACAGGTTTTACAGTATATATAGATGATTTATTTTTATTTCATTCCACTTTACAAACACATCGATTGTATTGTGTAGTTAAATTAAACATTATTAAGGACACGTTTAATCATGCATAGATAAATATTGTCTTTATTTTTATTAAAAGAAAAAATTAAATTGTAACTTGTCATAAATAAAAATTTTACATATTAAAAAGAAAAAAATAGAGAATTTAGGTCACGCTAATTTATATTCTACACAAGATTTTTTTAATTTCAATAATAAAAATTGTTATTTTTTGGTATCTTTATTTTTCTAATTTGGACAAAAACTTAAATAAATAAATAAATAAGATAAATAATCTTATTTAGGTTATCTCTTAGCTTAGTCGTAAAGAGCATCGGATATTTATTGGAACGTCCGGTCTATAATCGTGTTAGATAACGACTATCGATAAATCCAGACAAAGAAATAATCCAACACAACTTGTCTCTGCTACAAATCTCCGTTTTCTTGAATGTTACTAACAAAAAAAAACCTCAATAGTTACTTGGATATTATCAATTTTAACGAAGCATTTATTTACTTTTTATTTAATGATACTAACAGAAAAAGAAAACAGGGACTAAATGATATTTTGGAGGCCAATTGGGTCCAAATAAATAAATAAATAACACTATTATTTTCCTCTAAATTGTGTTTGAATAATGCTACAAATAATATGCATGCACGTAAACTTAGGCTAACTTTATATGTACAGTGAAACTTGTGTAAATCGGACTCGTACGGTACCGAATACTTTTTCTGTTTGGCATGTTTCCGTTTTAAACAGGTTTTTTAACACGGAAAAATCGCTGCGTTGTTAGAAATGTTTCCGTTTTATTAAGATTTCACTTTGGATAGGTTTAACAATATGTGTATGTATACAGTAGAACCTGTGTAAACCGGAATTACTCTCTACCGAATTTTTTTCCTGTTTGGCAAGTTTTCGTTTTGTACAAATTTATTTTTTTTAACACACACAATCACTTCGTTCCGAAGATTTTATCAGTTTAGGCAGGTTCCGTTTTGCACAGGTTTTATTGTACATAAAATTAGCTTCGACATATTTTTATAAGTATATGAAGTTAATTATATTCAACGACATATTTAATTACATAGATATAAAGTACTTTACTCTGAATTTAATTTACATATAAAATTAGTTGCATTCGATGTGGTTGTTAGTGTGTTTATGTATAAATTCATCACAAGTTACGTTATTTTCAGAGTAGGATTTACGTGTAAGCTAGTTAAGACATGACTTAGGGCCTCACCCTAAATTTTTTTTCGGTCTAAGATAATTTTTGGGGAATTTCCTCAGTATTTTTCTGCTTAGAGGGCCGCAGTACACGTAAATCCCTCTGTTTGTATGTATAATATGATATATGTGTATGTCCGATAACTTGCCAAAATGTAAATAAGTTTTCTGTAATGAAAATTTATGTAATAAATGTAAATCTTTAAACATAATTTGCGTTTAAATCAATTTAAAGAATTCCAAAAATTCAAGAAACTATTCTAGAAATTCGTTTACATTGTTTTATTATAGTAATTAATTTTTATTAGAATAAAATAAATTTAAAAGCATAAAAAACAAAATACATTTTCCATTCATTTTATTCTGTCATAAATATTTAATACAACGAAAACTTGCGGAAATACTACTACAAATTTAATTTATAATTGAGCTTACTCATTATCTATTCCTGTGTAATAAAAACTACATTTACATACAGTAAAACCTGTACAAAACGGAACCAGAGTAAAACGGAAACCTGTCAAAACCGGTTTTACTAGTAAAACAAACTTGTGTAAACCGGAATATTTTTCCAATTTGGCAGGTTTTTTTGTGTTTTAACATAGAGAATCGCTCCGTTTCGAGGACGTTTCCCGTTTAGACAGGTTTCCGTTTTAGACAGGTTTTACTGTATCTTAAAAATAAAATAAATAAATAAAAATAAATAATTAAAAATATTATTTAAAAGCAAAATCTGTTAATCAACATAATGAATTAGTAAAATATTCAATAAATTTTAATTAAGCAAAATCGAATTTCTGAAAATAACAAGGCATTTAAATTTGTTATTCTCTTAATTATAATTTAAATGTCTGTTTCTAAATTTGTAACAGAATATTTGTATACGTTACCTGAATATATAATTTTATACAATTGATAATTATTTATAAACTAAGCTGCTCTTCCAATTAGTTATTCTCGTTATTTGTTGTATGAACGTGTAATAAATTAAGTTACTTTAAATATATATATATATTTAAAATTAATAATTATACAAGTAAAATTAATTATATTTAAAGCACAGTAAACTTTCATAAACCGGAAAAATATTCGGTATCAGGTAATTCCGGTTTACGCAGGTTTTACTGTATTCTTCCGTTTTACACAAGTTGTTTGTTTTTTTTTATTTCCTTAACACAGAGAATCGCTCCGTTCCGAAGATTTTCCTGTTTAGACAGGCTTCCGTTTTACTGAGGTTCCATTTCGGACAGATTTTACTGTTAAAATAGTTATTTTTAATATATTTTACATTATAATTAGTCATTCTTAATACACTTTATACGTAAAATTAGTTACAATCGATACATCATAACTAAATATAACACATAACACCGTACACAATTTTAATGTTTATTAAACTTTAACCGTTGTAGACTAGATTTGAGCTTATACAAAACTCTTAACTTGTCAGATGAGTTTGTTGAGGACATTTCTCTTTAAAAGCTGCTGGCAGGCAGTGAAACGGCTCACACCCCTCGATAAAAGGAATGGTGCCTACCATATCCGGGTTCTTACCGGAACAAGTCAGTAGCCATTGAGACAGAGGAAGAGGAATTTGTATTAGAGATTTCAGTCGTAATCGAGCTTTTCTTCAATTTACAACCGAACAGAGACAATCACTTATGAATATAAATAATAATTGAAAGGATAATTTACCATCCATTTCATTACAAAACGGTAAGGTTCTCTTATTGTTATGCCTAATATTAGGCTTAGCTTAGGGGTTGTGTTTTACTAAAGATCGAGATTTGTTTTTTTTTTGTTTGTTTGTTTTTCTGCCAATTTCATCGAGCTTTTCGTTTAAATATGCCGATTATGGAATTTATTTAACATTTTCCCCCTCGTCCGAGCTGGTTTTTATAAGCGGGGAAGACCCGGTTTTACGTAAAATCGGGGTGAGTAACAATAGGAGTCGTTAATCCCGTGTACTTTACTGTACTATATGCGAGAAACTTTGCTGTTTTGTATTAAAAAATACGCTCGTTAAAGACAATTAATTCGATGTAATGCTATAATTTAATAAAATTCTGCGTTAAAATGAAGTAGTTTCGAACTGTAAACGAAAACAATAGAAATTGTAGGTGTTACGTTAATATTGTATTGTTATAATTGATCCTTTACACTTTTGAACTTCGGAACGTGGACGAAATTTTAAAAAATTTCGAATTTTTGAGGAATAGTTTTGCTGTGTAGTCGAGTAATTAAAAGCTCATCTCTCTTTTCTGAAAATTATACCCCGTGTCAGATAATGTGTTTAAATGGCATCATTTTCTTTTTTGATTCTTCTCAATCTGAATAAAGATTTAAGTACATTAGCATATACTAGATAGTCAATGGAAAACTATCTTGATACGTAACCAACTTTTCGTAATTACGTTACAGGGCGTGTCGTTTTTCGAATCATTACGTTTTTGGCCATTTATTTTCGCTCGATTCTTCCTAATTGTCGTCATTTACTTTTAGTCTTTCGCCATTCTTTACATCAACATATACCGAATACATTTATGCAGCAAGTGAAGGAAAAAAAAAGTTATTCCTTCTTGTTTACATATCGTATATACCGTGGTTGCTTCGATTCTGACAGGTGGTGTTTTCATAAATTATTCAGAAGTTAGCTCTGAATTGTCGAATCATCAGTTAATCATTAATACATTTATAACAACTAAAATAAGTATTTTTCATATACACATCAGTTACAGCTGGAAAAAACTTATTTTCAGTGTTTCTTAACTTAAACTTATTTCACATTAAAATTCTCTTAAAAGTTTCTGTCCAACAGAAATTTTCATGTTTCTGTCTAACAGACAAAAGTTTCTGTTTTTAGTGTTTCTTAAATTCTACCCATAATTTTCCATGTGAAATTCTCTCCAAAATTTTCACTATATTTAAATTTCTTATTATGAAATATCCAATTATACATTTTTAATAATTAAAAAATGAAGTGTTTAGCTCATAAAGTTCATGACTTAGATCTGTTGTTTGAACAGTACTGGAATGGCTCTTGCTCTATAAATTTATCAGTGATTCCAGAACTATATTAAATATATTTTTTCTTTATTATATTTTTGTAAATAGAGACTAATAAGTTATTTTTATCTTTATGAAAAGTTTTCAAATAATACTAGAAATTTACTCATGGGAAAGTCTGACAGTATCACGTATTCAAAGCCGCGTGCTTGAATTCTAAATTTTTGCTCGGTAATATAGCTTAATGTAGTTGAAAGATTTATGATCACATGTTTTGTACTTCATCTTTTCAATGTGAATTGTTCATTAGATTACATGACAGTCGACTGTACAAATTTTGAATTTATTAAGATTTATTTTCTGTATTTGTCAATCATTGATACCAGGGAAATATTAATATATAATAATTTTTTTTGTCTTCTATTATAAGTTCGATAAGAAATGTTTTTTTTTTTGTTGTTGTAATTAACTGTGCGGTTGTGTATTCTATAACACAAAATAACGGATTAAATATATTATTTTTGATGAATTTGTAGAGGTAAATATTTTATTTATAACATAATTAATTTAGTAATCCTTTTAAGCTTCTGTCGCTACAAATAGATAAAGTATTGTATTGATGAATATTTCAACACAGAGCGATTAGCGATTGTAGTTTTGTTTTTATAATTCGTGCCAAATCATATTTATCACGTTGCATTTCTAATTTGTTCTCGTTACACAATATACCCATTCCCAAGCAATAATGCTGCAGTGTCGAAAGAGTCACAGCTGAATGAATCGTTTGTTGTTACAGATGGTCTTGCTTGTATTCGGTCGTGTTTTTGGACTTTGTGTTTTTCCCTTCAGCAAAAATTCAGAAATATTATTCGAATTTCTCATGGCCTTATATAGTCTCGTAAAGTCGATCTTATCCGCTTGCTTATATTATTTCTTTTTAAAATGGAGCAAGGTATAAACGGGGATATAATTTTTTCCTTTACGGTCTGATTACTCGTTCGGTTAGATCACTTGTTTTCGATTGAAAGAAACCCGGAAATGATATGTTGACGTTGACCTTCTATATTTAAATGTGCTCTATTTAACGAATGATCTTAAAACTTAACAATGATGTTTTTTTTTCTTCTTATTTTGTCTGTGATAAGATTTTATCTAAATAATATCGTGTTACAGTTATTAAAATATAAATACACGGGTGCATTAAAAATATTATTTTGGCTGCAGAATATCCTTGTGTATACATTGTATTTTTGTGATGTAAGCTATTTTACATTAGTAAATGATAAAGATTATATAAAACATTTGTTGGATTGAAATGAATTATGAAATTACTTTTTTTTTAGATTTAGGGTTTATCCATAAATTTTATTTCCAGTAGAAAACTTTATTTAAACACGATTCGTTTACAAATAAATCTTTGTTGTGTCTGTTAAACTTGTGTAGTTTATTGTGCTTCTGTTTGTAATTATATTTCAGTTTTTGATGTTTATCAATTTGCCTGATTTGTCTGCATGCTTGCAAACTAAAAATATAATTTAAGTCTTGTGTCATAATTAGTTTTTAAGTTATATTGAGTTATATCTCACACAACACACCACACATACAACACCCAAAGTATAGATTTAAATGTATAACTTGAAGTAATTATCACAAAAATTGATTTTTTTTAAAATAAACTTTTAGTAATTAGTTTAAATATATATATCTACCAGTTCCTTGTGTTATAATAAACTTTATATGTTGTAATGTTAATAAATTAATAATTAATGAAAATTTATAAATTTTAATATAGTATGTGATTAATAATAGAATTTATTATATATAGTTTCTAAATTTATAAATCTTTACAGACTATTTTTATTATACTTATTAAAATTTACAAAATAATAAAATAAGTATAACGATTTTCTCAGAAACAGATTATATCATCGAACTGCATAAATATTGTCTAAATTTAGTAATATCGACCAAAAATGTTTTAATCTATATCATTAGTTAAAATTTATTAATATAGAAATAATTTAATATAAATTGAGTAAATGGTAGATTTATTTATTCATAGTTGTCATCGAATAATATATTTTCATCAGCGAAATTTATTTGATTCCATAATGCAGCGATGATAATGCGTTAGATTAATTAATAAATGCGCCATTTTTTTCTAATAAAATCTAAATAGAAGTGTGAATTGCACAGTAATTCACACTTTTATAAGTAGATTTTATATTGCTGTATTTATTCTAATAAATAAAATTAAAATAAATTTTTCCTCAAAATTCCTCAAACTGAAAGGTAAATTTTTCAGTTTGAGGAATTTTGAGGAGAAATTTATGAAGACTTTTAGAAGTTTATTCTGAGGCAGTTTCGTGGGATAATTCTTGTTTTTCTAGAAAATTGTGTGATATCCTATGAGGCCAAGATTCCGGATTAATTGATATGAAAATTAAATGAATTAAAACTAATTAAACTTGGCTGTAGTCTTGTTTCTTTCAAGAGAAATTTTGTTCAATAAATTGAATAATTATATTTATAAATTAAATCGAATGGAATATTTTTGACGTGTCTTAATATATTCTTAAATTGCGAGAAATCTCGTTTCTATAATTCAATATAACTTGGCGTTATCGATATGGAGGGGTATCTTATATAATTTATTGTTAAGTACTGTTTTATAGCCTTTGTTCCATTATCTTCTAATCGAATCGAATTTTTTAGATGTTTTGGAAAAAATGTGACAAATGCTTTTAATGATCTAACTATTTTTGATGCCTTAAAATTACTTTTTTCGTGGATTTTTTTTCCCTTTTTCTTTTTGTCGATTTATAGTTGCAAATGAACAACAGGGAATATATTTTTAACACTAGAAGTAAATTATAAAATGATCTTGCCGTATTTGGACAATATTTTCTGTCCGAAGACGGCGAATTTGGCGGGAAATGTTTTATTTATTTTTATTACCGGCAATTAACTGTTAAAGATTGACATTTACTGTACAACAAACGTGAAAGTTCAGTAAGAAATCTTTGACGAAATTAAAATGATAAGTAATTTTTGAATAAGATTATTATTATTATTATTTTGCATGGTAAATTGAACATTACAAATGTTTATCTTAGTTGAGAAATAATATTTTGTAAAATTATCCCCTTCTTAATGCAAGTAGTGTTGTGTAGAACCACATACTATATTGAATAAATCTTTTAGTTTTACAATGAACATTGATACAAAATTAAAAATGTTTTACAATGAACATTGTAAAACATTTTGAATTTTGTTTAATCATACTTTTATCAAGATGTAGAAACTGTTAAAAAACAAAAATCTTTTGTATTACATTCAATGTGTGCATGCAATTTGCTCGAAATTCTTGATTTCTTTAGCTTTTATTCAGTTGTAGATCAACATTATGTTTAATAATAATTTTAAATGTCGAAGAATAAGTTTCAAAGTATTTATGAATAATAATCATATAGTCCTAAATAATATTTTAAATTGAAATATTGTTTGCAAAAAACCCATGGTAAGAAATTCAGATCTGAAGAGATGTTTATGACTTGAAAAGTTTCCTTCCATTTATTTCATAAATATATTATAATTTGCATAGTTTAAACGTTGCGTGTAGTACATTACACAATACTGCGTATAAAATACAGTATATTGCAATATATTGTACGTAAATTTTAAGTGTTATTACGTTAGTTCATCAAATT